TATGGGTTAGTTCATCCACTTCCTGCAGACAGAAACCTGCTGGTTTTAGCAGCTAAATGCTAAACGGAGGCATTTTACTGCGTATCGGTGGCTTCACTTTTTCTCAGGCTAACAGTAATCCGGTGAATATAGAGATTGGTTAAACCTGAAGTTATCTGGCTAACGCAATCTTCTCCATGGCTCCTGTTTGACATTTTTTGTGCAGCTTCGTTGTTACACTTTTAGCCGCCATGAGGCGGCTGGCCTGTATTTTCTATGTTTAGCGCCCCCTGAAGGCTGCTGGTGACGCTGTAAAGATGTAACTAGCGGCCATCTTGAATGCATGTTTTGTTAAAAGATCTTTACGTTGGTGTTTCTCAGTGACAAGAGGATCCAAAATGGTGAAAATTTTCATCGGGAACTTGTCGTCCGACACCACCTCAGACGAGCTGCGCTCCCTGTTCTCGCAGTACGGCAAGATTTCAGAATGCTCCATCGTGAAGAACTTCGGCTTCGTGCACATGGACGACAAGGCGGAGGCAGAAGAAGCCATCCGTAACCTCCACCAGTACGAGCTGAACGGCCAGCCGCTGAACGTGGAACTGAGCCGAGGGAAGTCCAGAGGTTCCACCAAGCTCCACGTGGGCAACATCGCCTGCACCAACCAGGAGCTGAGGGCCAAGTTCGAGGAGTTCGGCGCCGTGCTGGAGTGCGACATTGTTAAAAACTATGCGTTTGTTCACATGGAGCGAGTGGAGGACGCCATGGAGGCTATTAATAAGTTGGACAACACAGCGTTTAAAGGTGAACCTTTGGGCGGGGGCTGATGGGCTTTTCACTTATTGATCTAGAACCAAGAATGTTCAGTTCTTGTTAGTTTCCAGGTAAGTTCCAGAAGAAGAACAGATGAGTAAGCAGAGAAAAGGCAGCAGGACTTTAAACTTAACTGGAATGTGGCGCCTTTAATCTCAGCTTCTTTGCTGCTTTAAATCAAATCTTCTAAAATATGGAGCTAATTTGGTGCCATAAAGTTTATTAAAAAACATTTTTTTTTACTGAATTCACACCAAAGGAGAAAATGTTTTTTATTAAATAAAAACAAAAAAGTGATTTTTTTTTTTTAAACAGAAAACACATTTTTAAAGCGATGTTTTAGACTTTTTATTATATATTTTTTATATTTGCAGTTTCACTCTGGGATACATTCAGAATGTTTAGGGAATAAAATTCTTTCAAACATGAATCCCTTATTTTAATGAAATAATTATTCTGTTAAACTGATCTAAGCCTTTTTATATTAGAACATCTAATTAAAGAAAATAAGAAATGTTAGCTAAAATATTAGTCTGTTGGACATTTTCATGCAGTATAAAAACCTTACATGGCGTCACGTTTCCCATTCATGTGTATTGGGTTTTAATCTCAGATATTCATTCTTAAATCTAAAAATTAATTCTGCCGAGGGTGAAGTCTTAATTTCAGATCTCGATAATAGTTACTACTAGGGGTGTGCAAAATA